TAGAGAACTATTTTCTCTGGGGCTGACTTTGAACTGTGAGCTTCCTGATCTCTGCTCCTGAGTAGTTAGGATTAAAGCCACCAGCACTTGGCTTTTATTGTTTTTGTTTTTTTGTAGTAAAAATAATAGTAAATATTATTAGGAAAGAAATTTAGTGTAACAGGATAAAAGTTGGGACAAATTTAGTGTAATAGGATAAAAAGTGAGGACAAGCTCCTGCCCCCATGCGGGATATGGGAGTATAGACGCCCATGTTTTTATTGTTAAGTATGTGTTTGTGAATTTGCAAATAAATGTAGGAAATAATTGTGTATCAGTAGCATGCACATTCTGAGTGAGGAATGATGGTGATATCAACTCACACTGGAGTACCATCATGTGCCTGCTACAGGGCTTAAAAGTCCATCTATACATTCTCTATCAGGCCAAAAGTTTCAGCTGAGAATTAAATATCAATTGAGAAGCCATCTGGAATACAACACAGTAGTCAGTGGCCATATTCTTTATCCCAGAGGAAATGGTTAGGTTAAATAAATTTAAAAAATTTTTAAATCTTCTATGTTATGAATTGTGGGGGCCCAAAATTGATTAAGTAATTAAAGTTAAATGAAGTCAATAAGGTGAACACTAAGCCAATCTGTGTCTTAATCTCCTCTCCTTGTAAGAGGAGACTAAGACACTAACAGATCCAGAGGAAAGATCAGGTATCTATAGATCCTGATCTATCCAAGGACAGAGGGCTTCAAAGAAACTATCTCTGCAGAACATCAATCTTGGGTTTGTAGCCTCTACAACTATGAGCAAACAAATTTCTGTTGTTTAAACCACAAAGGTCTGTGGTACTTTGTAATGGCAGCCCTCACAAACTAATACACCTACTTCCACTGAGGAGCAACATATTTGGTGGTGACCACTTTACAATTCCCCAAGAAAAGTAAAGTTGGTTCAGAACTTGGAGATGCAGACCAGGTAGCATGTCAGGGCATGGCTTTGCCCTTATCATCAATTACAGACCATGACATTATAGCTTCTTGTTGGGGGGGGCAGGGTAGATGGGACACATCTTTATCTGTCCCAAGTACAAATTATCCATAACTCTCTAGCATTGTCCTACATATATTGTTCTTCAAGTAATTCTCTTTTAAATTTTAAAGAGTAACTACAACTACCTTGTTCTGAGCCTGTTTGCTAGGATAGATGGTTAACAGTGGATAGCCACAGTAAATGTAGAGCTTAGATTGGAAAGAACAAGTTGCTGGTGATTTTAAGGGTAGCACTATAGCAGCTGCAGTGACCACATTCTCCATAAATTACCTCTGTAATAGGCCACACCCACCTTAAATCCTGAGGGCATCAGCGGTGTGGCTGGTGACAGCTTGAGTATCATCAGCTTATGTTCATTGTTGAGGCAGCCTGGATGCTGACTGGAGATGTTTCATTGGTGGCCTCTTTCTGATATCAGGACAAGTATGGTGAGTTGCCAGGGCTGCCTCTGGTAAGGTGTCATTGCAATTTTTCTAGCCTCTCCTCCTCTGGGGAGCAGCATATGGTTTTAGGTTGGGATATAGCATTTTTCAATCTTCTAAGATGGTATTAAAGTATATAACTAGAACAGGTTCTGCCCGGAAGTGGGGGGAGAGGGTGGCACAATGTATACCTATATAAGTAAATGTAAAAATAATAAAAGGAAAAGAAAACCCAGAGTAAAAAAAAAAAAGTATATAATGAATATATTCAGTCTAGTGGCTGGGTATGTACAAATTCATCCCATGACTCAAAATATGCATCCGTGGTTGTCACTCCTTATTTAGTTTAGGGTAAATATATATTGCCCCGGGATTACTCTATGATCTTGTTTTACCCAAATCTTGTCCATATAGAAGACAATGCAAGTGGAAGGAATTTGGGGAAGAAATCTATTAGATATCATCATAAAATGCCAACTATACATTCATTCCTGGAAGCTTCTTTTTAAGTCTAGGGAATGGGTCGGCTAAGGGAGAAAACATGGTTTTGGTCAGCTGTTTCCTAATCTGGCATCATTTCGGGAATACTCAGAGGCCAGAAAAGAGGGTAGACCATGATACATTTGTCTCTACTGTGTTTCCATGCAAAGCATTCATATGCTTTAAAAAGGAGTCTGCCCTATTATTGGCACCCACCCTACAAAGTGACCTTATGTGTATATGAGTGTGAGAACTGCTTTGGTTCGATGAACAATAAATTTACAATGTCCAATCCTAGGCTAAGTACTTCACTATTGGGTACTTGTGGAGCCAGTTGGCATCATAACACCTTCCTTTTACCATCTGGGTAACTACTTCTACAGGGCCCCATTAGACTAGAACATGGCCTAATGTTAAGGGGACATGTATATATATACATATATTTTTTGCTGTGTTTTGTTCTTTATAGAGCCCCACCATATGGATATTGAAAACTGACAACCCAAAATTTGTTGCTAACTCCTACAGATGTTCACGAATGTATCCTTTGTAATATATCAGAAGGAAGTTTCTTGACAGAAACTATCTCCCAACATAAGACAGTAGTAAATAATGTCAGCATCCATAATCTTGTGACCCTTCCTACAGGATTTAGAAGCTTAATGGCCAGGGTTAAGGATGCAGAATTCAGTTGTGGTGTATTTTGTTTGCATGTATCAAATATAAGTAGGTCAATGTCCAGCTCTTAGCCCCTTAACCATCACGATCACCTGAACTACTTCTAGGTTTGAATTGATTTTTACAAAAACAAGTAGGAATTTCTTCCACATAATTAACTGCTATCCTTTCTCTATATTGTGGATTCCCTGATGGAGGAAAAGCTATGTGCTATAACAGAAAACTTCTCCACATTTTCTTCAAGAATATTTTTCAGAAATGTATGCAAAATAGTGGAAGCTCCTATTGATTTCTTGACCTCCAAAAATAAAAATGGCACACTAATACAGTTAAGGCTAGTGCCAATTCTCACCCCCCAGAAACTTACAAAGGATGAACAGTAAGAACCAGAAGGACAAACTGCAGCATTCAATAGGAAGGGTAGTTCTCTTGAAGATGGGACTGGTAATGTCCAACTCAAGGTAGAGGCTGTCTAGGTACAGCCCAGGTACAGCCCATGTACCCAAATAGGGTCAGGTTATTCCTTGAGATCTGGGAACTCCAAAGTGAAATAATTCTTTTAAAGTCCTATCTGCATGACTTTTAAAGGGAAATGGAGAGCAAAAAATACAGTTCAAAACAAATATAATTGACAATACAAATACACAAATGGTAAATTTCATTATGTTCTCAGGTCAGTGATCTTTTTAGGCTCCCAAGTTTATGCCTACAATAGTTTCCTAACTTTGTCTTTGGTAACTCCTCCAGAATCACATAATTATTTTCTTAAGCCTCAACTCCTTTCCCTTTCTTCTACATTATCTGAGACATACACTACAGCTCATAAAATCTCTCCTCAAGGTTACATATCTGTCATTGCCTCTCTAACCTCCCCCTCCAACTCTGCCACACTGCTGGTCTTTCTCATGCTGTTAACAGGAAATTTGGGGAATGGCAAGGGGACAGACATCAGAAGTAAAGTTTTCCCAGCCCTGGACCCTATTGCAGAGATGGAAGGGAAGTTGTGCTAGCTTGTGACTGATGCACATTAACTGGAGAGAAAATCCTCTGAGATGACTTCCTGTTTCTTATGTCTTTTGGGAATAAAAAATGGTCTAGAAGAGAATTAAGAGTACAGTTTTCATCTTGAATTTGAGATGGCAGATGTGGTAGACAGGACTAGTTGCCAAGGAAAAATTGTGATTTATCTTATCTTGCCACAAAATTCATCACTGTGAACTTTGATTATCCAGTAATGTGTCTTGTAAGATTAATTATCTGTACTACACCCATGAAAGTCAACTCACCTTTGCAGTAAATTTTGACTATATTCCTAACCTGTTTATTGGGAAAGCAGAATGGGGTCAGCAAGTTCAGAACTGGAGTCCTTGGGTAGGCAACACACATCTCAGTGAGACAGGACTTCCCAACCCAGTGCTTACAGGTACAAATAGTCACACAAACACACACACACTTACATACACAAACACATTAACTATTTAACACTGAAATTCCAGCAGTGAGACTTACAGGAATATATATAGAAGATATCAATGAAGCCTTTGGATGTGATAGCCCACAAAGGGAGATGCACTTCCATCTTTAGAAGTTAGAAGAAAGGAATTTGTATATAACTTAGGGATCATTCAGTTTGAGAGCTGAAGTTTATTTTACAACCTGTACATATAATCTACTATCTATATGCTGAGTTATATACCTGACCTCAATAAGCCTGCAAGTTGGTATGAAAATATATACAGACACAAGAAGAACAACTTACAAGGCATAATTTAAGCTGTACTTTAGCACCACCTTATTCAAGGAACGAATAAGAGAAACAAGTTTTGAAAAAGAAAGTTCTTAAGAAACGAAATGGATCTTAAAGGTTATGATGGAGCACAGATGAGCAAACAGAAGGAAAAAAAGCTTCCCAGGTAGGGAACATAGTGATAAGAAGTTATACATTGGAGTAATTAAAAACTAGATGTGGAGCACCATAACCCAGAGGTAGGGAAGAATGGATAAATCTTAAGGAATTGCTTTATGTAAATGGTAAAATGGAGGAGAAAGAATGGAATAGAAAATATATTATCTGTCCTTGAGATCTTTACAGTTTGATTGTGAGAGGCAACACTAAGAAATCAGAGATTTTAATAGCTAAAAGAAAATGAAATGTGTAGTCTCTACTTTTCTGATGATTGGGAAAGACTGCAATAAATTAATCCCACTCTCCCCTCTTAGTGACCCAATGGAAAGCACTAGGCAATGGTCAACTCTGACAAGTAGCTCCAGGGAGAACATCCTTCTTATATATACATAAAAGCTTAACTCATATTTCCTTGTTCTCTCTCTCAGAAAACCACACCTTAGGATTATGACCGAGGCAGACCTGAGGGCTTCTCTCCAGTGTGAGTTCGCTGGTGATGATTGAAAGTGGAACGCTGACTAAAGGCTTTCCCACACTCAATACATTCATAAGGCTTCTCTCCTGTGTGAACTCTCTGGTGGACAATAAGCTGTGAGCTGTCACTAAAGGCTTTACCACAATCCTTGCACTTATAGGGTTTCTCCCCAGTATGGGTTCTCTGATGGACCATAAGGCTGGAGCTATAACTAAAGACCTTCCCACACTCATTACATTCATAGGGCTTCTCACCAGTGTGAATTCTCTGGTGTATAATGAGGTGAGAGTTTTGATTAAAGGATTTTCCACACTCATTGCATTTGTAGGGCTTTTCACCTGTGTGAAGTCTCTGGTGCCGAATAAGGCATTTACTCAGACTGAATGCCTTACCACACTCACTACATTCAAAAGGTTTCTCTCCAGTATGAATTCGCTCATGGTCAACAAGTTGAGAGTTCTGATTGAAGGCTTTCCCACATGTGCTACATTTATATGGCTTTTCCCCAGTGTGGAGGATCTGATGTCGAATAAGACATTTACTCCTACTGAAGGCCTTGCCACACTCCATACATTCATAAGGCTTCTCCCCAGTGTGGATTCTCTGATGGTCAGTAAGATTTCTGTTGGAACAGAAGGCTTTCCCACACTCATTACACTTGTAAGGTTTCTTACCAGTGTGAAGGACCTGATGTCGGATGAGACTTTTACTTCGATTGAATGCCTCTCCACACTCATTGCACTCATAAGGTTTCTCCCCAGTATGAATTCTCTGGTGGTCAATGAGTTGGGAACTCTGAGTGAAGGCTTTCCCACATTCATTACATTTATAAGGTTTCTCCCCATTATGGAGTCTCTGGTGTTGAATGAGATGGGAGCTGTGCCTATAGGTCTTCCCACACTCATTGCATTCATAGGGTTTTTCCCCTGTGTGGGTTCTGAGATGAACAATTAGCTGAGAAGTCTGCCTGAAGGTCTTACCACACTCGTTACACTCATATGGCTTCTCTCCAGTGTGGATTCTCTGGTGCCCAATGAGGTGTGAACTCCGGTTGAACACTTTGCCACATTCACCACATTGATAGAATTTCTGTCTCTTTGGAACTCCTTGATGTTCAGTAGGAGTGGAGGACATATCTGGATGCTCCTCTGCTTCCTTATATTGCCCACATCTGTCTTCTGTGGTATTTGTCTTATCCTCATCTGTCATTTCCAAGAAATCACTTTCCAGTCCAGATTCTTCTTCATCGGAGGGCTGCCTTTCCAGCTGCTCTGAAACATCTTCACAGGTATCTTCAGCTTCTGTTCCCCTAGTGGCCATTCCATAGAAGACCCCTGATAATCTATCAGATGACTCCAATTCTTTGGAAATGTCCTGCTTTGGAGTTAACTCAGAATTCTCCATTCTGTTCTCTCCTGCTACCAAAAGAAACAAGCAAACAACTCATTTTTTTATCCTGTTGTAGAAACAGAATCATCAAGAGAATGATGCATCCTATAAACATAACATCATGGTAAAGGAAGGAGGTAACACATTGAGAAGAGGAAACAGGAAATAGCTCAATTGCTCAATTTTGTCTTTAGAAACAGAAAAACAAGGAGGGGAAGTTTTGTGGGTTTTTTTTGTTTTTTTGTTTTTTTGTTTTTTGTGGTGGTACCAGGGTTTGAACTCTGGGCCTTACACTTGCTAGGCAAATGCTCTACCACTTGAGCCACTCCACCAATCCTGGGGAAGATGATTAATGAAGAGGGTGGGACAAGTGACACCAGGACAGATGGATGTTGAGCCAGCACAGCCTAGCTCAAGGCTGTACAGCATGATGACATCTTCCAGAAGCCCATTCCAGTGTTGTCTTCTTAGTAAAAGGATGAACTCTTAAGTTCCTTCCAAACCATGACAATGTGTAATTCCATGATTCTCTGAAAACATTTTGGGAGAGAGAGAAGGCTTACAAGCACCTCAAGTTAAATATGAGAGAGAGAGAGAGAGAGAGAGAGAGAGAGAGAGAGAGAGAGAGAGAGAGAGAGAGAGGGAGAGGTGGGGGGAGAGGGAGAGGAGAGGAAGAGAGAGGAGAGATGGAAATGGTAAGAGTTAATGAGAGGTTTATAGTATTAGGGTATGATCAGGAAAGTGTACAAAAAGGAGAGCTCTTGTATGATAAGACAATGACAAGATATGGACATGAATTTAGGAATGTTGTGGGTAACAGTGTTGAAAGGGAAAACAAAGCTCTAAAAGTGGAGATGCCACAGGTCTCCAGAGCACTAGACTGATAGAAGCCAGCTCTATACTTGAGTAAAAATTTAGCCATCAATAATTTAAAATGTGAATTAAAATATGTGTTTGAGATCTAGGTTCTGTAGAATAATAAGGAAATTAACAGATGAATATGCATCTGGAATTTTGGAGTTCTGGAATACTAAATTTAGGAAAAGACACATAGTAGAATTATTGCTAAACATGAAAATGTTGGTTCCTTTCAATCATGTCTTAACTAGGGCCAGGCCACCACACTGCACAGCATAAAAAAAGCTTAAAGATGTCTAAATCAATGGTTGTCATTCCCCATCTGTCAAGTTGGCTACTATCCTAAGCTTGTCATCCACAGGTCCAGCCCCAGGCTTTGCAGAGAAAGAATCTTATACATCTATGCTTTTTGTCAAGTGACTGTGAGCATGTCTGAAGGACCACAGGTGATTGCACCAGGGCAGGTAGTAGACCCAAGTGTAGCTTATCTGTAGGCTAATTATCAGTCTCTGCTTTTGCCTGGGCAGTGAATGCAAAAACAAAGATGACATTAAATGACTGTACCAGCCAAAATCCCTCTCTATGGATAGTCTGACCTGGAAACAGGGTAAAATGAAGGCAAATGTGAGTCAGACCTAAAATTGAAATGATGTATGGAGCCAAGTGAAGGTATTCAGAGCCACAGCAAGCAGTAAGTGTGAGGAACTGGAAGTAAAATTGTGAAGAAGCTATGATGAGGACAAAAGTTTCAGAGGAAAGAAATGGATAGTAGTGGGAAGAGAAGCAGAGAGAAACAGACAAGGGGGAGCAGTTGTGTTAGTCACAATAGAACACTGGTGTAAACATTATTTACTCATGCTACTAAGGCTCTTGGGCTGCCATGTTTCTCAAAGCCTGGTCTACCTAATGGGTTTGTACTGGGTTCCCATTTCTTTAAGCTTTAAAACACATTTCCTACTTCTACAATCTGAGGGACTGTCTCTTCCTTACAACTTAGAAAACCCAAAGTAGCCACTTTATGTCCATCAATCACAAATAAAAGAGAATGATGACAAATGTCAAATCTGGGTGATAGGTGCAGGGAGATTCATTATACTAATCAATGTTTCAAACAGCTGATAATAAAAAGGATTTTAAAATATAGTGAAGAACAGCTGAGTGTAGTGGCTCACTCCTGTAATCCACTCTACCTGGGAGGTAGAGATTGGAAGGATTGTGGTTCCAGGGCAGGCCAAGCAAAAAGTTACTAAAACCCCATCTCAACCAATAACTGGGCATGGTGGCCAATACTATCAGCTTTACAGGAAGCATAAATAGGAGGATGGTGGTCCAGGCTGGCTCATCCAAGAATACAAAACCCTATTCAAAAATAACTCAAGCAAAGACGGCTGGAGTGTAGCTCAAGTGGTTGAGCACCTCCCTAGCAAGCTTGAGGCCCTGAGTTCAAACCCCAGTACAGTCCAAAAAAAGTGAGGAAAATGAACACAATGAAGACTTTAAGTTAGTACAGAAGAGAATCATTACCCAATGAGACCATGCTGTGATCATTTTCTGGTATCATGTTCCGGTATAGGGCTCTTTGACTGAGTGCCAGGCCTTTTGACTGCTTCTGAGTACAGTGCACAGACGTGCCCTCATATGCTGCAGTCTCCTGTAATGACAAGCTTCACTGCTTAGGAAAAGAAGGGCAGAGTCCTGAGGGATGTAAGGGGCACAGATTGTGGGCTCTTGGTGGGAAAAGGAGTCAGGGAAAGGAGCTGGAATGACACATCAACAGGACAAGATCAGGGTTAGACAGTCCATTAACATGGCACAATGACCAGCTCCAGATATTCTCCACCCACAGCCACAAGAACTCGGAAATAATACAAAGAGTCATGCTCACCTGGGGTCTGACCATCCGAAGTACAGTGGCCACTGCTTGGTTTCCTGAGTTCCCCACCTGGGGAAGGGCAGGACCTGGGAAGAACAAATTGAGGTGAGGGAGGAGAGCTCTGAGTGGGCAGAGCCCTGTCTTTGGCTCCTACAAGGTTTTTGTTTCTAAGGAAGGTTTTTGATAGCACCTGAGCAGCTCCCCACACCACTGATTCCCAGCCCTCTTCCTAAAGGTGCTATCCCAAGTATGCTGTGAATGTTTCCAGGACGGCACAATAGTTCTCTGGTCAAACCAAGACCTCCCAGCCCTCCCTTTCTTCAATCTGACCATAATCTTTCCTAGCACCAGCCAAACCTGATTTCCTCTCATGCCTAGTATCTCTTCCTGCCCTCTCAGAAGGACACACTTAGAAGCCCAGCCCAGTGCTTCATTCTTTTTTTATCAGTAATCTCACCAGCTCTCGTGGCTTTAACACTACTCTGAATTCTCACTTCTCTCCGAGACCGCTTTCTCAGAGTTGTGTATTGGACATTTCACTCAGGAGTCCCACACCTCAATTTCATTTTCTAAAATGCATTTCCTTTCCAGAAATCCCACTTTCTGTCAATAATTACATCACTGACCAAAACCCTCTTGTTGCCCAACCTTATGGATTCATCTATCACAATGTTTCTTGCATCTATCTTCTTCTATTCCACCTGCCCCTGATCTGGTGATAACTGCCTATTTTACTGCACAAGCCTTCTATTGAAGCTCCCTACCACTCAGTCCACAAGTAGCAAGTCATCCTCCTGAGATATGTTTCTAACATCATTTTCTGAACCTCATAACCTTCCTGGTCTCAACCTCAAAGGCCCTGCACAAGCAAGGCTCTGGTTCCCAAATACAGCTCCCCCTGACTCCTCCTCAATGGTGGCCCAATGAATTCTCAGCTGAGAGCCTTTGCTTATATCATCTACCTTCTATCACTCTTCTCCTGCCTTTAAAATCCTCCCCCACTTTTCATTGTTCAAGTCCCTGCTACTTCCTCTAATAAGCATCTTTTACCCAATGATCACTTTTTACAATGTCCACATGGCTCACTTGTGATAGGATCTAATGCTCAAGGACAGACATCACTCATATATATTTTAAGGTGTTGCTTTTTCTTATACATATGCCTGACTTCCTGTTACCTAGATAACAACTCCTTGAAAACAATGACAGTGTACTAAACCTCTCTGATCCCCAATTCTGTGTTTCTTATGACATGTGCTTGAAAAACACTTGCTAAATATATACACGATTGAGAATTAGCAAAAGGAACAGACAAGGTCAATAAGAAAGGAGGCCAGCTGGCAGGGCAATATGGGATTCCAATGGGGCCAATGGCAGATCAAAGCAGAAAGACTCTAGAGAGCAGACAGAGGCCACAACTAGGGAGATGAGTACCGAAGTGCCCACTGGGGAGGTGGTGTCCCCCTGAATCATGAGGAGGCTTCAAGAGGGCTCCAGGGTCTGAGCCCCCACTGAGGGGTGAGGTGGGAGATTCCTCTGTTGCACCTAGAGCTGTCATCTCCTCCAAATGTACTTCCTTTTTCTGCACTGGAGCTGAAACCTAGAGATAAGGAAATACAATTGGGTTCAGAAGAGCATGCTTGAAGGTAGGGACCCAAGATCTTTAAGACGCCCTCTCCAGGAAGAAATCCAGGGATGTGGGGGTTGGGTGGGATGCAGAGTGTCTTTCCCACACTATAGTGAAGCCCATGCAGAAAGCTTGCAATCCTCCCTGCTATCCCTCTACCTCTTCATAGAAGCTTGAGACCCACTTTTATAGCCATTTCCTTTCTGGGTCAGGTCTTCCGACACAAATCTGCTTAAAGAACCACCTGGAAATGGCCAAGTGACTCAGTACATTCAGTAGGGCCTTAGCAATGTGTGTTCCTGTATGTACACAAATAATGCTACTGAAACTCATAGCTGAAGCTATACTATAGAACAGTAGCTGACAAACCTAAAAGGAGCTTTTCCAATTTCTCTCAGCAAAAGTGTCTCCTCTAACTACAATGACAAAGCAGGGATAGTTACTATCTTAAATTATTTAATTATATTTTCTACATTATATATATTAATCTTTACATCATCTCATTTTTATCCTTATTGTCTATTTTGCCCCACTGGAACACCAAGTTTCATGAGGGTAAGAATGTTACCTGTTTTGATTACTAGCTCCTAGAACAATACTTGATGCAACATTGATGTTCAATTAATATTTGCTGACTTCCTCTTGAGACTCTTGCTAAGAGTCTTTAGGGTTAGCTACAAACTCAGTTTTTAATATGTCCTACTTCTTCTTAATAATTTATATTAAAAAGTCAAAGCATAGCCATGTTATTTCTTTTTTTTTTTTTTTTTTTTGTGGTACTAGGCCTCACTCACTCTTGCTCTGCAAACACTCTACCACCACTTGATTTTTTTTATTTTAATTTTGCCAAAATTTGTGCCTCTACTTTTCATGTAGCTGGGGTTAGGGGCATGCATCATCATGCCCAGCCCAGTCATTTTATTTGTAAGGAAATCAGCTCCTCACAATCTCATGATTACTATTTTTAGCAACATTTTGAGCAGAAAATCCAAAACATTATCTAAACAAAGCACATTTATAGGCTCACTTGCTCTGGCATATACATACAGCACACAGCATGAGATGAAAATAACTTCTTTAATAAACCATGCTAGATCTGCCCTATTTGGTTACATCTACTGAGATGTTACAGGACTTTCTCTTTTAATATATATCTCACTAGCATAATGGTGGGACCAGGTGAGTGGTGGTTCCCAAGTTCTCTTCTGGATGTTTCTTATAAAAGAGAGTCACAGCTCTTCAATATAGCAGCTTCGGGCATGGGTAGATCATAGAATTTAACTGCATTGTGATAACACAACCTTGTGATTCACTGACAATTAAATCCTAATACAGTTCCCATTCATTATTGAGGCTCAGACACATGAGTTTCTTTTCCTTGAAGGCATGAAAATCTCATTCCAATTCTCATTCTAAAAATGCATTCTATAGCAAAACGCTAGTGAAGAGCTAGTGGCTTCAAACCTATGGAGCTAGAGAATCCTGGTTCCTCACCCTTGGTGGTAATCAGCAATCACAACACTTTAGCTAAACCTGTGGACAGGGAATGCTTACTTGATGTGTTATCTCAGATGAGTCATCAACCTCTCTGGACTTACTTCATTTGTCAAATGGAGATAATGATTACTTCACTGCCTATTTGGTAAGCCTTCTAGGAACTAAAATAAGATATAAGATACAAAAGCATTTTGTAAGTAGCAAGATTCTGTAGCCCAGCAGGGATCACTCCACAACCCTCCCCAGCCCCAGGGTACCTACTTGTCCATGCTCTTCCTATAGCAATAAAGTGGCTTGCTTCTGAGGAGCAGAATGACTTCCATTTGACAAGATCCTCCCTAATCTCCAACTGACAAACTGTCATGAAAAGCTTGTTTATTCATCTAGCCATTCTATAAACATCTTCTGAACCCCCTGCTAGGAAAAATAAGTAATGCCTTCATGTCTCCATGAAGGAAACACTGACAATAGTGTCAGAGTAAGAAATGGAATCTTTAGACTCCACTCTTAGGCTAGAGCCATGAGTGTACAGCTGCCCTATTTGTAAACTGTTTAGTCACTCTCTTGGGTTGTGACTTGGTCACCTTTTTCTGAGACTCCTTGGACAAAACACTGAGACTTTCAATGCTTCAGTATGGTATGAAATAAGGAAAATTTCATTATTTGTTCAGCTCCCTGTCATTGATATGGTTAGTTCTAGTTACTGTGTTAGGCCCTTGTGATTTATTCATGTGTGCATACTTGTTCACACGAAGGAAATGAAGGTTGACAATAGGTTTGATGATCTCAAATGTGCACTGGCTGGCTGGTACTCCTGGAAAAAACACCTAGCCCTAGGACTTCAGTCAATTGGAACTGATTCCATAGTCACAGAAAATGTATTTTTAAGTGCACTGAATAAAATGACATGCTGTATAGATGGGAAACTTTATACATTCATTTTCTCTGATAAAGTGCAAAGGAATAAAGTAAAAGGGACAAGTTCACCCTGCTCAGGTTATAACAGAACAATTAGAAACCCGGTAAGAGGAATTAATCATTGGTGTGACGGTCTTTTGATGTGTCAACTTGGCACTAGTCAAACATTAATTCAGGTGCAGCTGTGAAGCAGAAATGTGATTGCAGTCCATAAGCAGTTTGAGCAAGGGAGACTATCCTAGACAATGAATGAATGGGCATGATTCAATCAGTTGCAAGGTCTTAAAAGCAGAGCTAAGCTGGGTGCTAGTGGCTAACACCTGTAATCTTAGCTACTCAGGATGCAGAGATCAGGAGGATCGCAGTTTAAAGCCAGCCTGAGCAAACAGTTCCGAGAGACCCTATCTGGAAGAAAAATCCTTCACAAAAATAGGGCTGGTGGAATGGCTCAAGTTGAAGGCCCTGAGTTCAAGCCCCAGTACCGTTTTAAAAAAAAAAAAAAAAAAGCTAAAGGTTTCATGAAGAAAAAACTGCCTGTACACTGCAGCTTCACTTGTGCCAGAGTTCCAACATGCCCCTCTTGATGGCCTCCCTAAGAATCTCAGTCTTGCTTAACCAGCCTCACAATAACAAGGGCCACTTTCTAGCAATAAATCTCTACACACACACAAAACCCTACAGATTCTGCTTCACTGGCTGAACATTGACTGATATATATGGTTATAGAGCTACTGGCTCTGTGGACCCAGAAGTAAGATTTTCCAATGTATATTTCTGACTCTTTCCAACTTTTCTTCTGGTTTGAGTTACCTTGGCTTTAATCTTGAGAGAATTCCAGGAAATAGGGACAACTGAAACTGGAGTAAAAGAGACCAAAAGACCTAAGTTGAATTTGGAAAGCTAGCAAAAGGAGCAAATGATAACATGGCCCAGAAATGTCATTTCTCATAAGGAACCTAAGAGGCAGGAAGAGAGATAATGAATTGTGAGAAGTCCACAAAAGTATGAGAATTTCTCAAATAAAAGTCCATGTTACCAGTATACCCAAAGGTCTACTTCTTCCCCACCCCTATTTTCTAACCCGTGTTGTAGCTAGACTCACAACAGAGTTATAAAGTGATTCAGTGCTTAGCTGGGATTTGCTGACTTTTTTTTTGAGACAGGATCATGCTATATTATCCGGGCTGGCCTCAAACTGGCAATCCTCCTGCCTCAGCCTGGGATTACAGATGTGTACCACCATGCCCACCTGGGATATGCATTTTTGTTTTTTGGCTTGGAGCACAAAACTGCTTTCCCTCTGTCCATGGAACAGGTTCAGGAGCCTAAAGGCAAAGCAGCCTAGAGCCTGGGGAACAGAGAATGCCTATTTCCTGGCTAACCCAACCACTAGAGAATGGTTCCAGATACCATTCTAGACTCAACTGCTTACCTCCCCTGGTCCGCTGAGGTGTCTCTGGAAAACCTCCACCACAGCCACAGCCTCCTCACCACTCTCAGGACAATGGAGCTGCACCCAGGTCCGAAGCTCCCCAGGCAGGATGCTCAGGAACTGCTCCAGCACTAGCAGTTCCAGGATCTCCTCCTTGGTGTGGACCTCTGGCATCAGCCACCAGCGACAGAGCTCACGGAGCCGGCTCAGTGCCTCCCGAGGTCCAGACATCTCATGGTAACATAACTGCCTGAAGTGCAGCCGGAAGATTTCACAGACAGAAGGGTGGTTCTTTTGGAGGCTACAGCCCTGTCCCCAGGTCTGGCTCTGTGACTCCTGCTTCACAGTCAGGCAACCCTCCTGCTTCTGGAGCACAACACTCCGGGGGATGAGGCCTAAAGCTCCCTTGCCTTCAGCAGTCATTATGATCCCAGCTGCAGGAGGTCCAATTAAAATGATGGTCTTTAGTTCAGATCTCAGGAGCTGTTTTCCAGAGTTGAGGAAGGAAGTGATAGGAGTGTCACCTACAGAAACATTGAAAGACAAATCAGTGTCCCCAGTGTTTTCCTCCCCTAGGCTGATGATAGACCCTTTACAGAGTTATAAAACAAAGAGCAGCCAAGTATGGTGGTACAGCCTGTAATCTCAGCTACTTAGGAGGCAGAGATGAGTCAATCCAGGCAAAGTTAGTAAGACCCTATCTCAAAAATATCAAAATACATGGGGGAGGGGGCAGGTGGGAGAAATGACCCAAACAATGTACGCACATGTGAATAAATGAATAACAAAAAAATTTTTTTAAAAGAGGTAAATTCTGACATTGTGGAAATGCAAAAAAAAAAAAAAATTAAAATACAAACAAAAGAGTTGGGGGCATGACTCAAGAGGTAGAGCACCTGCCTAGCTCGTACAAGTTCAATCCCTAGTTACCCCTCTCCCACTGCCCCCCCCAAAAAGCAACAGGGAAATATCTCTTAAGCATCTCCCCAAGTGACTTTTTTTAAATGTTCAGTGGCTCCCATCGCTAGGATAAAACCTACATAGCTATGCCTAGCATTCACAGACCTTCACAACCTAGCCTTAGACCTCTGTTCCAGCCAACACCCTTTTACTCTCCCCAAGTATACAAACTAGAAAGACAGCAATAGTCTCCAATGTAGGATATCCAAGATATCCCAAATGGCAAAAGAAAATACTAAGTTGTTATTTAACTCCTGTTTAATGTATGTTTAAAAATATACGTTGAAATTTGTATAGCAAAATTTTATTTTATGAATACATATTTTTAGTTTATAATTATGAATTACATATTTTTAGTTTATGAATAAACCTATGCTGGAAACTCTTCCACTGACAGAATTGCACAATAAAATTTGGGACTAACATTCTGGAGATACAGTGAGAAGCCACATCCACTCTTTCCCTGTTTGGACTATTTCTTCTTTCTCTCAACTTCTGACAAATTCATATTCATCAGAACGAATACCGTTTTTCTTCAAGGCTTTCCTGACTGCCATAGCAGGAAGAGAGCTGGTAATTGCCCTTGCTGTAACTAACTAAAACACATTTTAACTGGTTTATAGACAACTTGTCTCGAATGCCCTCTGAACTGCTGGGTGGCCACCCAAAGAAAGAAACCAGATGGAATCAGAAAATTCCAAATCTTTTCTACTCAACTTCCCTCCTCTGGAAAGCCTTTCCTGGGTTAAGACTAGTTATTGCCTCAGTGATGTCACAGCCTGTTTTTTTCATTCAAACTTCAGCCATTGTAACTGTAGTTTACGCCTGTCTTCTCCACTTTCTGGGAGGACTCAAAGGACAGGGTTGAGTTCCAGTTATCTTTGTACACGGCCCATCGGGGCACATATTTGGTAAGCAAATGAATGTGGCTCATTTATCTGACATCAAAGTTTGGGAAAACGTTTATTCAGATTATCCATCGACAAATGCCATTTGAAAATCAGCAGCTTAGTGGTAACTAGGATATGTGTGCTGTGCTTCCAAATCACCATACATCCGGCGCCCCAGAGCAAACCATTTTTCTCTGAGCCTCAATTTCTTTAAAAAAAAAAATTGAGAAAGAGACTTATCTGTTAACTCTACTCTGAGATCCCACAGATGTAGGAAGTGCAGGCCATTTTCCTACTTCCCTTCCTGCAGCGTTATGTCAACGGGATTTTTGCGTTAACAAGTAACACTGCACATTTGAGCTCCCAGCCTGGGTCTGACCCACTTCTGATGCTGCTTATGGTCGCCGGGTGCAAGGCTGGGTAGGCTGCTACCTACAGCTCGTGCTAAGCCAGGCTTGTGCGGCGCGCTCACCTGGCCACGTCTGCCCTGATCATTGCTGCGCCAGCAGGTGCCGGACTCCCAGCCAGGATGCTCAGAGGCACAGGACAAAGAAGCGACTCTATATCGGACGGCCTCTGGGCGTCCCAGAGACCCCGCCGCGGGAACGAAGCCTGTCCCCTCGGTGTTCCAGGACGCTGCTGCTCGAGCCTAGCGACCACACATAAGGTCGCGCCTCGATCCCCACCCTCGGCCTGTGAGTGCGACGACTCAGCGAACCCACCAGACACTTCCAGAGCCCAAAGAAATGAAAACAATGGCCGGGCCGGAAGTGAGAGAGCCCCCCACTTCCGTCCGCACCAGGACCCCGGAAGTCCCGGTTGCGAACGTGTGCGCGCGCGCCCCTGCATCGGGAGAGTGGGCGGGGTCCTGCGCGCCGGGACTTTATCCCGGGCCAGGCTGGGCTAAGAGGGCGGGACCTCAGGCTGCGCACGTCCTGGCGCCAGAGTCCCAGAGATCTGGTATCACAGATCTCTTTCCATCCGTGGTGACCTTAGGAGTGATACTCATTCTCCCAGTCTATTTTCCCATCTGAAAAATGCAGAGTATAGCGCAAGCCTCATGGAGCTGTGATCAATGTGAGTTAATACACAGACACTACAAATCGAAGTCCTGGAGGTGTTCTGGGCATTTTCACTTATAGTGAGTGAGTGAGTGTGTGTGTCTGCCCAATCAGTGACTCAATGAAGTGACCAGCTGGCATCCTCATTTTACAAAAGAAGCAGGTCCAAAGATTGTGATACTTTGTTCCATAAATGTGGCCAAGGAGCAAATAAAAAGTGAGAAGGGGGATGGTGGAAGAGCGCCTGCTCTGCAAGTGTGAGGCCCTGAGTTCAAACCCCAAAGCAGCCAAAAAAAAAAAAAAAAAAGGAAAGGGAGAGAAGGTTTGGGACAACTTGTAATCTCAGACGCACTTGTCTTGTTTCTGAGAGGCAAATGTTATCCTGGTAAAATGATTTGCATACAGAAGTAGGATGTAAACAGGTGCCTGCTGTTAACATGATTGAGAAGGTCTTGGAGGCACAACTTATATGGTATACACAACCTATGGTATAATGCCATAGGTGAAGAACAGAAAGTAAGAAGAGTCACTTCCTGATGGAGTTAGCTATATATGTATTTCAATGTAGCTAAGTTTGTGGGACCTTTACAGGGTCCAAAGTAAACAGTCTCATGGACTGTGTCCAGGGATCAGCAATATCCAGAGGTGTCCTGAGCCTACCTCAGGCCTTACAGTGTATCACTTATAGGTCTGGATAGGCCAGAATAGAGACAAATGCATCAGAAGTTTTCATGTTAAGCTGTCTCAGAGCAGTCTTGGTCCACTGAGTCTAATAATAACCTCCTGATATCAAATGTACCTTCAACATTTGAAAATTTCACAGGGAAACTATGGCAATCAAGGTCTAACTTCTGCCTAACATAGCCACTAGATGTAGCCCATTGGTCCATCAAAGTCTTAGAGGTCTTGGTTCTTGAGCAGGAAGTTTCTTAGAGCCAGGCCAATCAGTTCTTGGTTTCCCTGACCATGTGTTTTCCTGCAGTTCTGGCTGCATAATGTAGAAGACACCAAGAGTAATTTTTTTTCTTTTGTGGTACTGGGGTTTGCATCCAGGGCCTTGCACCCTACCACTTGAGCCACACCTCTATCCCTTTTGTGTTCTTATTTTGTGTTTGACATAGGGTCTCACTAACTTTGCTAACTCACGATCCTCCTGCCTTTACCCCCTGAGTAGCTGGGACTACAGATGTGCACCATAACACTTGGCAACTGACAGTGTTTTTTATTCCTCAAAACTGTGTCATGCTCAGGTGGTTGACTTTCATTGTGAGGGAAGTGTAAATCTGAGTACTGTGTCCAGATATGTCTATGTGTAGCATTGTGGAACTGATTTACCATAACTGGGCTAGGCCCTAGTGGTCAAGGCATGCTTCATGATGCTTCCCTTACAGCACCTTGAGATACCTTCATTTGTGCCAAAGATGACTCTGTAAGTCCTTCAGTAGTTCTGTACCAGATTATGACCTCTCTTGGAGACCATCATAGAAGCTGTGGTGTGAGAGCTATCACATAGGGAGCCCAAGTTCTACATTTCTAAAGCAAAATCTGCCATTTACCCTAAACCCTGAAGATCTACCTGTGATTCCATCTGTTTTGGAAAAACCCAGATTTGTTGCATGAAAACCATCCTCCAAAGGTAGAAGGGGCTGAAAGACTGAAGAAAGAGACAGATGGATCCAGTATTGCACAAAGTGCAATTTACTGGAGACTTACAGACAGAAATGTGTCTTGGGCAGTAGCAAGATAGGTAGATCCCTGAACCCCAAAACACTAGGAAAGGTTTACATGCTAAACTAGACAAAGGCGGACTGCAGACAATGAAATGTGCCTGGCCTTTCTCAAAAGCTATTAACATGTCCAGTGTTAGTTAAAAATAGCTAGAACAAAATCCTCAGCTGTCTTAATGATTTTGTTTACTCTAAAAGGACTTGTGAATGTGTGCTAGGGTCACTTGGGGGCAAAATTCCAGTTATGACTGTAGTCAGGCCAAAACAGGTTCCTAAACCATTACTTACTTTATCGTATTTTGTTTTATTTTTGAGATAGGATCTCTCTATGTTGGCCAGGCTGGCCTTGAACTCCTGGACTCAAGTGATCCTCCTGCCTCAGAATCCTGAGTATCTGGAACTACAGGTGTGTTCTGCTACATTATCACTTTTAAAAGCACTATTATTCATCCAGGGGCCCAGACTAGAATCCTAAGTGATCTAGGTGACCATGGGCAAGTTACTCAGCCTCTCTGTGCTGCAGCTTCCTCACATCTGTAAACTGGAGATAAAAATAATATGTAAATTTAGAGTTACTGTGAGGAGTAGATGCAATAAAATACATAAAGCCCTTAGAATGGAGCTTGGCACACTATAAAGTGTACAGAAGTTCTCTAATATATTTCCTATCCTTGTTTCCTCCCACTTCATCTGCTGTATCCAGATTATTATAAAAGCCTGCTGGGTTTGCCCCATATGTTGTAGTAGTGGTAATAGAAAATACCATTATTATCTTCTAAGCAGACACTCTACCACTTGAGCCACTCCACCAGTCCTATCCCCTCTTCTGTGTTAAGTCCTGCATGGGGTGGGGGCAACTTTGAGAAGGGTATCCCTAGGGACCTTCTGGATTTAAGAAGACCACAAGACTGGCATGGTTGTGTGTGCCTATATTCCAGCTATTTGGAAGGCTGAGGCAGAAGGATCACTAGAACCCAGGATTTTGAGTCCATCCTGGGCAAGATAGCAAGACTTTGTCTTAAAAAATAAAGGAGGAGGACAAAGATGATGAGGAGGAGGACAGCAGGAAGAAGAAGAATAAAAGGAGAGGGCCATAAAAAGAGGAACACAGTCAGGCATATGAATTCTTTACCCCCAAACTGCTCAGACCTTCTGACATCATCTGCATGGAAAGTCCTTTTTCAACAGCCAGAACACTCATACACACCTTAAAAAGATGGGTCCCTAGACACTCTAGAGGAGGGGTTGCTTTGATGTGAACAGAAAATCCCAGCCAATTCCTGTCCTTGAATGGGAGTGGATGGGGCCAAATGCTTGCTAGGAGATCAGAGACCCTCCTTTCATCTAAAAAACCCCTTCTTATCCTTTAAGGCTTAATTGAGATGCCTCTTCTCCAGGAAGCCTTCTATGCACCCATCTCCTCATCTGGATTAGCTACCTCTTCTTTTGTATTCCCGTATTGGCCTGCCATGTCCTTGTAATTGCCTTTATTTTCCATACTGCATTAACTGTATACTTAATGGCCTACTCCGACTATACTGTAAGTCCCATGGGACAGACAGCATGTCTCTCTGGTTCACGGTTGAGTCCACAGTCACTAAGACTAGACTTCAATGTTCTGTTTGTCATGGTATCTGTCTCCTTAGCTGGATGTGAGCTCTGTATAGTCAGACCTTTGTTTCTCTGGTCTCCAGCACAGAAAATAATCTAGCCTCTAAGAAGCCGGTCCTTGTTCTAAGCTTTTAGGCTGGCAAAGAAACTGATCAATCTGGGTTGTGGCAAGTTGCCTGTGATTGTCAGCTATAATGAGAGGCTTAGAGGAAGAGACAGGAATTGCTCTCATATCTGTTTATCTTCTTTGCACTTCAGTGTCTCTTTAAGACAGCATAATTAGTTTTCAGGTGAGGATCTAGAGGCTTGGCAATGTCTTGCTAGCTGGGTAGCATGTTACTGGCTAAAAATGGTAAGCAAGGCCTTGGATCCAGGTCTTTAAGACTTCCCATCCTCCTCTTCTTTCTATTGCAAGATGCTCTGATTCTTAGTCATTCCTGTTTTTTTTTTTTAATTCCTCTCATATTTCTTCTGGCTAATGGTGTTCCAGGCCCTATTACAAGGACAAGTGGGTCAGTTATGGTTACAAAATCTTGCCTCCATGAGATACTCAGAATGAGGAGTATCTCTTGGCCTCAGAGGGCTCTGTGGGTTGCCAGTCCCAGGTCAAGAGACCACAAAGATGTGCATAACTACGAGCTTCCTAAATGGAATCTGAAGTTGTTCCAAGTATGTGAAGACCACAGAGGGCTTCCCTATTGGTGATCTTCTGTTTAGTACTTGTCTGAAACCACTACTGGTAGGGTGGGGCCTGGGTTGGGAGCCCATGGCTACCAGAATAGGACCTATAGCCTGTGTCTGCATATGGTGTCTCCAAATGTTGGCACTGGCATCAACTCCTTCATGACACTTATTGGAAGAGAGGCTCAGAGAGCGGTGGGGACCTGCTGGGGATCAATGAGGATATTTGGTGAGAACTAAGGCATTTTCTTCCCAACCCAGTCTCACCAACTCTTGGGCTTCCTTTCCCACAGGTACCCAGCTTCTGGGGGGAAGGGAGGGCCCAAGCATCCTATCCTCTGTACTCTGTCCTAGCTATACCATTCCCCAGGCCTGTTTTCCTTCCTCCAACCTACCAGCCAATCCTCCAGCCTGGCCTCTGACCCTTCCTCCAGCAAGGCTGTAAAATTGAAGGAAAATTTTCAGGCCAACCTATGCACAGCTTTCAGCCACTAGGGTTGATAGACTCATAGACTGCAGGAAGGATCCTTTGAGTCCCTAGTCCAGCCACCTCTTCCTGCCCTATACATGGGGAAATGG